ACACTCATTTCAAATGTAGTGGAGTAAAGAGTACAGATACTCATTAAAAATTGTAGTGAAGTAGAGAGTAAAAGTTGCTAATATCTTTGATACTGTGTACAACTACAAAGTACCCAAAAAGATACTTAAGTACAGTAACTAATTACATTTACTCCAATACTTTACACCTCTGCCCTCCGGACGCTCCGTCGTCGAATCCCCCGGTCTCTGCTCACTCAGCCCACCGGCCGTTCCTCACTTTCACTCAGCCTGCCGGCCGTTCCTCACTTTATCCCCCGGCCTCTGCTCACTCAGCCCACCGGCCGTTCCTCACTTTCACTCAGCCCGCCGGCCGTTCCTCACTTTATCCCCCGGCCTCTGCTCACTCAGCCCGCCGGCCGTTCCTCACTTTATCCCCCGGCCTCTGCTCACTCAGCCCGCCGGCCGTTCCTCACTTTATCCCCCGGCCTCTGCTCACTCAAGGCTGCTGTGTGTGACACGGTTTCGTTGTGAAAGCGAAACTACTTTGTTTGGCCTTCCAAAAATGGACACAACTAGAAATCAGTGGTTGTATTTACAAGTTGTATTTACAACACTGTTCCAGAACAGTTCAACACAAATATTCAGATGTGTGCAGCACATTTTATGGAGGACCGTTTCCTGGGAGAGTAGACCACAATGCCGGCTGTTCTGACTCAAAGACTTTAAGTATGTTTTTTTTATATTTAAAGTGTTTTTATATTTTATATATTTAAAGCAAGTTTTTTTTTTTTGGGCAGTGTAGAGTAGGGCTCGTTTTTTGTCATTCCTCCGATCACAAATGCAGACATGGTTTTATGTTTACGCGGCGAGCTGCAACGCGTAAAAAGACCGTATAAGTCATTATAATCCATAATTATGTCCCCACTGGATGCAACGAATGCCTCGTTTGTAATGGGTTTTCATGTTTTTGAATCATCGCTCTGGTCTGACAGGGCGTCATCACAGTATGGTAGGGGCGTAACATTTCCGTCACACGCTTGAGGTATTCGGCCAATCACAACACACTGGATAGCTGGCCAATCAGAGCACACCTCGCTTTTTCAGACCGATGAGCTTTGTAAAAATAGACGTGTTTCAGAAAGGCGGGGCATAGAGGAGAAACAATGTACAGTATTTGGAAAATAATGTGTGTTTTTAACCTTAAACCGCATAAACCCATTTCATTACACCAAATACACAAAATAATGTTCTTTTTAGCAACATCGTATGACCCCTTTAAATTCTGACCCGGTCTGGTCCGGACCGGGAGGAACACTTAAAACACTCTCGAGAGAATACACTTTTTATTAGCAACAATAGCAGCCGTATGGCATTGTCTCACTTAAATATCCTGATTAGGTACACTGTTCATATTATTTCATTGAACTGTGAACACACATTTAAAAGAAAACCCGAGTACTCCTTCCAAATTCACAGCAAACAATAAAGAGTGTGAAATCTCATGCAAAGCACACTTAATTAGAAACTCCAAGCATAAGTCACATGCCCTATGTGTAATAAACAGCACAGGCAATCAACATACGATTCGGGAGGACAGTAATCACCTAATGACTGAGCACAACAACGCACATGAATCTTATAGAATAAATTCAATAATTTCTGACTTCCTTGTCCGATGACACCCTGCCATCACTGAGGACTCAACCTTCCCCTCTGCGTCAATGATAGGAAGGTCTCCTTCAAACAGCCTGCCATGTCCACCTACACTTTCTTCCCTATCTACCTAAATTCTCCCCCCTTCTTTTGTAAACCCAGCAGGCTTAAAAAAACAGCATATCAGTCTCTTTCACAGTTCATTATCAGACAAAAGAGAGTCCTCACCTTTCCCCTTCCCCATTTTTAAAAGTATCCAAGAATTGTTCATTGTCCACAGGTGTGCTCGAAGACATCATTCCTTCCGTGTTTGTCCATAACAGTGACGTCACGCACATTATTTCATTACATTATTTATTTTACTGAGGCTATTTAAAGGTACCGCAACCTTATCTAACCTCATATTTAAAATGAAGTCTTTTGGGTGAAGAATTAAAAGTTTATTTTAAAAAAGCTGGTAAAGATTTTTATACGCAAATGGCACCATTCTGTAATTTCTTGAAAATGACTTAAGGTAGAATAATTAAAGCTAATTTAGCATAAGTATTCAGTGAATGAAAATTCAATCATTATCACAATCAGGGGCAGACTTCTTGATTTAATTGGGGGCCCTAAGCAAATTCCAGGTGCCAGCTACAGTAGCCTATGTGTTCATTTACTTTGTAACCCTTATTTGCTTGGAGGTTATTTACCCCTTCAAGTTATCTATTGGATGGTGCAAATTCTGTAATTAGTTAGTCAACCTGATGTTGTTCGAAGCAGTATTACCATATGGGGGCAGTTGTGGCCTAATGGTTAGAGAATCGTAAACCAAGGTCACAGCAGGTTAAATTTTCAGTACCAGCAGGAAATGTAGGTGGGGGAAATGAATGAACGGCACTCTCTACCACACTCCGTATCCACAAGATGGCCTTGAGCAAGACATTTGATGCACAAATACACACTGGAGTGTTTTCCAGATCAGTTTTGTCAAATCAGATGGGGCCCCCTGATTCCTAAGCAGACACTTATCTCGCTTATCAGTTCAGTCTGCCCCTGATCACAGCATCTTATTCTAATGTTCCTTCATGTTTTGTTTTAGTTCAGTCCAGAAGCAAAGATCAAAGTCACATGAGCGCAGTTATGTGTCCATGAAGAGCAACCAGTCACTAGATCCTCCACTTCACTTCAGTAGATTCAATCATCCAAAGTTTAGGTAAACACTGTATTAAACATTTATCTTACATCTTTTGTTTGAAAACGAAGAAATAAAAGGTCATTGATGCTGTAAAGTGCCTGTAAATAACATTCACTTGTTGTTCATCTTCACTGCACAGACCAGATCCACCAGTATCCAGACCTGTGTTCATGAAGAGCGACTGGTCATGGGATCCTCAGTGCAACTTTAGCAGACGCATTGCTTCTAGGTCTAGGTAAACACTGTAATGTACATCTTTTTGATTATACAAGTTTATATTACATTTATGAATTTAACAAAGTGTCAAGATTCTGACACGCATGTCTGGTTTGTTTTGTGTTGTCAGTATCCTGTCATACATGCTCTTTCTTTTTTATTGGTTTTGTGTTGGTTTTGATTCCGTGAGTGTTTTGTGGGTGTTGTATTTGGAGCATAGGGTCAGGATCCTCTCCTTTCTATCTAGTCTCATTTTTATGGTGGTGGTCACTCTACATTTGACATTCGTCATGATTCTGTGCTCATGGAAGTCACTTTAAAGATTTTACATACCCAATGTGTTACAATGGATTAAAAAACATATACAAGCAAAACATGAGGGCTTGTATCATAAAAGATTCAAAACTGCTCTTTTCTGTCACATCCTTGTCTTTATTTTTCATATTGCCTGTGCATAATTTCGCTGGCTTCTGCAGCAGATCACAAGATAAATAAATGCATAATCGCTTGCTTTGTTTTCTGTGTTTACTTCCGTATGACGGCGCTAGTGTTGCCAAATCAACAATTTTCCTGCGGAATTGGGCTACTTTGTCCACTGTTGCCACGGGTTGTTTTTCAACTTCTTGGGTGGAAGCAACCCCACTAACACGATATTTACCCCTTGGAACATGATTAGGCTAGTTTTGAGAAGCAACTGGGCGGATTTGGTTGTGAAAACCTGGGAACCCTGTTGGTATCGTTCTTTTGTGCATGCGGGGCAGTTCAGAACCATGATCTTTTTACACTGGAAATCAGATATTAGCCACATTTGAAACAACGTGAACAGATATACAAAAAAATTGAATCTGAACAAAAATCGTAATTGAGCACTAATTGCTTGCAGTGTGAAGTTAGCTATAGTGTCTGTTTATCATGGGCTCTTCCGTTTGTTATCAGTCTAGTGTCTTGACCCCACCCCCTCATTCACTCTGTCAGTTCATTTGCCCCCCCTGTGCTCTTTGTTACCCTCCTGGGCCCGTATACACAAAACAAGAGTTCTCCTAAATAGCAGTAAAAGTTTTAGCTAAGCATTTTCTCTTAACTTCTTCACAGAGCTGCTGAGACAAACTTTTACTAAGGAATAGAGAGAAGTCTTCAGCTAAGAGTAAGGGGGCGGGGTTCGTTGCTATGGATGATGATGTCATGCTTACTATGCACACAGTGATTGGCTGATAGTCTCTGTCAGAGATTTATTCATAATAAAAAGATGGAAGAGATCCGCATACATCCAGATTCAGCCAAAGAGGCTTATTTCATTTATTGCTCAAAGGTCACAAAAATATGTGCAAAAAGGTGCAGAACATTTTTGGGTTTTAATCCTTCCTCAGTGCCATGTGCTACCAAGCAACACCTGCGCTCATTAAAACATGTAGTCCCGGCGCATAAGTAAGGATGTTGGTTTTTATCCTCGTCTTAAATGCGTGGCATGTAAAATTTATGCAAAATATTATTTTGTTTTGGAGTTGTATCTTTGTAGCCTAGAGAAAGGTTCTATATAGAACCCTTCAGGGGTTCCAATCATGGGATTATTCTTTGGATTTAATTTTTGTTTTATTTTAATTACATTTTAAGACTTAAACAGCCCATATAGCTACTTTATCACTAGAAAAACTGAAATAAGCCTAACACATCAAGGTGTTGTGTGATCATTTAATACACGTTTATTCGCGTTTACAATGACAAGCAATATATAACACAGCAATTCATAGTGCAACAGTTACAGGGATTAACATAAATAAATTTTTCTTTATTCATACTTTTTATGATTTTTACCTCTCTAAAATAGCACTCTCCATTTTAGAAATATTGTTTTTTAAACCCCCTCCACCTTACTCACCCATTCAACATGTCAGTCACAAATATATGTTGATTGCTAGAATCTTTGAAATTTTTGAAATAAATTGAAAGTTGACTTGCAAAAATAATTAAAAATAATTAAATGCATAAGTAAAAATAGAATGTGAAAAAGTCATCAAATAGTATATTATTGACAGTCCTATTTTGCATCTCACAACCAGGTCATTACCCATTACCTTAAATAAATGTCAAGTATTTACTCCACATTCTCCTATAAACTAAGTAGTCTGACTTTTTTTTGTATACTGCAACTTTTGCCAATTCTGTAACCCATAAAAGATGGTGAACCACATTTCTGAAAAGGGAGAGAAAAGACTAACTAGTAGTATTGTTTTTAAATGTATAAACATTAAATGTTAATTTTACATTCAGATAAGCATTTAAACAAAAACAAAGGACCCATGACAATTTCAGCGCTGGGAAGGGCTAAATGGTGCTGATTGAAATTAACTAAGTGAAGGCTATTGGATGCTCCATAGTACTGAAAAAGTAGACAGCAAACCGGTACTTCTGGCATCTCTGTGTTATTAGTCAGTGACACATCCATTTTGATGCTAACTCTCCTTGCGATGAGTAGTCTTGACATCCTAAGATGGGGATACAAGTCAGAGAAACATTTATTAGACCTATGGAGAGTACAGTACAACAGGAAATAGAAAGCAATCTCTCACAACTAAATCAAATCTTAAAACTTACTTGAATTAGAGAGGAGTGTGGTGTTTTCATAGATGACCAAAAAGTAATGCTGCACTCCATAGTCCAGACCTGCAGTGACAGTACAAACTATTTATTTATCAATCAATCATAAGAACCTGCATGATAAAATGTGGAAAATAGGAGAATAAAAAAAGATAACACGGTGAGCTTCAGTAGGCCTTTGTGTAGTAAATAAAATCGCATGTCTGCGCCATTCTTTTCCACGAGGGGCGGACTGGGAAAAAAAATTCAGGCCGGGAAATCTCACACTCATACACCCACAACAAATTCTGAAACATGGACAACCCTATTTTTTTTTGTATGGACCTCACATAGGTCCTTAGCTCCTTATGGGGACATGCAAAATAATTCAAAGTTATCTCCTGAACTGCAACCTTCACCTCCATTTTTCTTTTCAGTCTCTTTATTTTGCCCTGATATCTATCTCTCACATGACTTTAATACTCAAGATTTAACAAAACTATACTTTCCAAATTGCCTATACATGTCAAAATTAGTACATCACACCCTCTCCACAGTCACACCATTGACGGTCAGAGGAGCATGCTGAGTGTGCACTCTCCTGAAGTCAACAACAATCTCCTTCGTCTTCTCCACTTTCAGAGAGAGATTGTTGTCACTGCACCACCCGGTCAGGCGGCTCACCTCGTTCCTGTAATTTGTCTCATCTCTGTTGCTAATGAGACCCACTACAGTCATGTCATCCGCAAACTTGATAAGGAGGTTGGAGTTGTTTGACGGTGTGCAGTCGTGGGTCAGCAGAGTGAAGAGGAGGGGGCTCAGCACACATCCTTGGGGGGCCCCAGTGTTCAGTGTGATGGTGCTGGATGTGTTGCTGCCGACCCGAACTGCCTGAGGTTTTTCAGTCAGGAAGTCCAACAGCCAGTTGCACAGCGAAGTGTTTGGCCCCAGCTGGACCAGTTTGTGAATGAGCTGTTGAGGGATGATTGTGTTGAATGCTGAACTGAAATCTATGAACAGCATTCTGACGTATGAGTCTTTTTTGTCCAGGTGTGTGAGTGCTGAGTGGAGGGTAGTGGCGATGGCGTCATCGGTCGAGCGTTTGGACCGATATGCAAACTGGAAGGGGTCCAAGGAGCGGGGGGAGGGCAGACTTGATGTGGTGCATGACTAGCCGTTCAAAGCACTTCATGAGGGTGATGTGGTCTGAGGCACCGAGGTGGGGGAGGGGGAGGGCCTTGTAAGCTCCTCTCTGTGTGGTGTAAACAAAGTCCAGAGTGTTGTTTCCCCGTGTTGGAAAGTCTATGTGTTGGTGTATTTTTGGGAACACACTCTTTATGTCTGCATGATTGAAATCCCCAGCCAAGATGAGAAAAGCATCAGGGTGGGCTGTCTGCTGCTCACTGATGTGCTGGACAGACACGCAGAATGAGCAGGATTCATATATTGTTTTTTTGCGGCTTAATATTCTCAGACACTAGTCCATATATGTATCTACTTTTGATTTATTCGTCCAAAATGTGTCATATTCCGTCCGCGTTAGGCTATAGAACTTCCGCTTTTATGACTGGATTCTACGAACCAGTCTGTGTTTTCCGCATCGCGGATATTATAGGGCCGTGTGTCTCAGAGTAGTCAGTGCAATTTGGGAAAGAAATCAATTAAATCTGTATGTGGATGTGTGTAAATATTCAAATGTAATCACCTTTGTAATCGTTAACATTTTCATAAGTAACTGTAATTACACATTTTTTCTTAGTAACTGTAACTCATTACAGTTACATTTATTTTGTAATTAAATTATGTAACGCCGTTACATGTAACTAGTTACTCCCCAACACTGCTTACATGTTATGATAACTAACTTGCAATCATGTTAGTGTGCTAATTAAATAGCAGACTATAGCGTGTACCTATTAATAAATAGATAAAATTGTCCAGATTGCTATACACTGCTGGTACACATGTATTTCTACTCCAGATCAGTCTGTTGGTATAAATTAATAGTTTGATTCAGTGATAGTAGACTTAAGTAAAACCAGTTAATTTAGATGTTAGGCATTTTTTCAGTGTACAGGATCACGTGGCAATTATTTTCTATTAAACTTGAAAGTGCAGATGTAAATTAAGTTTATTTTCTTCGGAATAAAGGTGTCAAAGTAGAATTGAAATAAAAACACAAATACAATGTAGTATAATAATTTTAAATAGCCTAATGTGTAAACATACATAAAGCATGTTTAGCCCAAAGAACCCTTTTGTGCCAAAAAGGGTTCTTTCTCCTTATAAAGAACCTTTTTGGCATAAAGGGTTCTTTGGAGTTGAGTAAAGAACCCTAGGGTTCTATATAGAACCCCAAAGAACCCATTTTTTAAAGAGTGTAGTCTAATTTGTGTTTTACTTTATAGTTTAATATAAAATTTTATAGCTACTCATTCGTCATACTTGTTCTGTAATACCGTTAAATTTAAAGGGTTTGTTGTGGATTAAGGAGAACTAGGCTAAATAATCTATATAGTGTTTGTAATGTTTATAAATGTTTTGTTATATTTACTGGTATTTAATACATATACAATAATGCCATTGTTTGCAATTATAAGGTTAAAGGGTGTTTTTAGAGTAAGATCAATTTCTCTTTCATGAGATGACTTCCTCTTTTGGCTGGGTTATGTTTCTCCTGGTCTTAAACTCTAGGGACAAGGTTTCTAAACCGGAGTGTTAGGGGCGTGATATTCAAATGACGATTGTTTTCTGCTGCCACATTTATCAACGTACAATCTTTCATACGATGGGATTGACGGCATACGAATGTTTCATGAATCACACGTGAAGTTGATTTGTGTGCTCAGATCTGCACTCGTTTCTACGTTAGATTGATAAATGAGGCCCATTGTGTGCTGGTTTTGTTTTGCAGGAGTTCTCTTGTTCTGTGCCTTATCCTGAGTCTGTACGTTTGTTGGTTATTATACCTTTATTTTTGTTTGTTTGATTTTTATTTATTTTTTTAGCCCTCTCATGAAATTTGACCTTTTTGATTCCTCACAACCATAGTGTGGTTGGGTTATGGAATTGCAATAAAAAAAACCTGACACTTTGCTTCAAGCTATATATTTCTTTCAGTCCCTGGAAATCAAAATCATGACATTGGCATTGCTAGCACCATGCTTGGCTGTTTGTTTTGCATTACAGTAATACACTCCACCACAGTATTTCACATGCAGGCCTTTCTTTGTTTCTCTAAAAAAAAAATTCTGTTAAGTTGTGTTAAACCTTTGAATAATAAAAGACATTTGATATTAGGACAATATTGTAATATAAAATCACATAATCTTACTAAGCAGTCTAGACTAAACTAAAGGAAGATCTCTTAACAAACTGGTTGTTATAAAATATAGTACATGAAGTATGCATATATTATGAAATGTGATTATGCATAATTATTATAATTTGTTATTTTCATCTTACAGTTATGGCCCTCAACATGCAGAACCCCTCAAGACATTTAGATCAAATCTGAGGAAGAAGTTTGAGAGTCTGTATGAGGGAACGGCAAAGCAGGGAAACCCAACACTGCTGAAAGAGATCTACACAGAGCTCTACATCACAGAGAGTGAGAGTGGAGAGATTAATAATGAGCATGAGGTGAGACAGATTGAGACACAGTCCAGGAGAGCAGCAACAAAGGACACCGCGATCAAATGCAGTGACATCTTCAGACCTTTACCTGGACAAGACAAACCCGTCAGAACTGTGCTGACAAAGGGAGTCGCTGGCATTGGAAAAACAGTCTCTGTGCAGAAGTTCATCCTGGACTGGGCTGAAGGGAAAGAGAATCAGGACGTCCAGCTCATATTTCCACTTCCTTTCAGAGAGCTCAATCTGATGAAGGACAAAACACTCAGTCTTTTGGGTCTAATGCATATTTTCTTTCCTGAAACCAAAGAAATGAAACCATTCAGTGGTGAAAATAAAGTTGTCTTTGTTTTTGATGGTCTGGATGAGTGTCGTCTGTCTCTGGATTTTCAGAGCGATGTGAGGTTGTGTGATGTGAGTGAAGCCGCTTCAGTGGATGTGCTGCTGATGAACCTGATTGTGGGGAATCTGCTTCCCTCGGCTCTCATCTGGATCACCTCCAGACCAGCAGCAGCTGATCTCATCCCCTCTGAGTGCATCCATCGAGTGACAGAGGTACGAGGCTTCAATGATCCACAGAAGGAGGAGTACTTCAGGAAGAGAATCAGTGATCCAAGTCTGGCCAACAGGATCATCTCACACCTGAAGTCATCGAGGAGCCTCTTCATCATGTGCCACATCCCAGTCTTCTGCTGGATCTCAGCCACTGTTCTGGAGAAGATGATGAGGAAATCATGGAAAGGAGATATTCCCAAGACTCTCACTCAAATGTACACACACTTCCTGATTATTCAGACCAGCATCAAACATGAGAAGGACTATGAGAAGAAAGTGAAGGATGAAGACATGATCCTCAAACTGGGGAAACTGGCTTTCCAGCAGCTTGTGAAAGGTAACCTGATCTTCTATGAGGAAGACCTGAGAGAGTGTGGCATTGATGAGACTGAAGCATCAGTTTACTCAGGATTGTGCACTCAGATCTTCAGAGAGGAGTTGGGCTTGTATCAGGGGAAAGTCTTCTGCTTTGTTCATCTGAGCATTCAAGAGCATCTCGCAGCTCTATATGTGCTGCTTTCATTCCTGCTGGACAAGAGAGATGTGCTCAATGAAAACCTCAGCTCAAAACATGCACACGAGATCACATGTCACACAATATCTGACCTGCATCAGAGAGCCGTGGACAAGGCTTTACAGAGTAAGAATGGACATCTGGACCTTTTCCTCCGATTTCTTCTGGGTCTCTCGCTGGAGTCCAATCAGAAGCTCATGAAAGGTCTTCTGACACACATTGGGAACATCTCATACAATGAAGAGAAAACGGTTGAGTATATTAAAATCAAAATAAGAGTGAATCCCTCACCAGAGAAATCCATCAATCTATTTCACTGTTTAAATGAACTGGGCGATCAGTCTCTCGTCAGTGAAGTCCAGAAGTATCTCAGATCTGGAGGTCTGTCAAGCGCTAGACTGTCCTCATCACAGTGGTCAGCTGTTGTCTTTGTTTTGTTGACCTCAGAGCAGTTGGATGAATTTGATTTAAGTAAATATATAAGTAACAAGTACAAAGAAAACCACATGACTCCTGATGAAGTTCTTCTGAAGCTCTTGCCTGTAGTTGAAGCCTCCAGATCAGCAGAGTAAGTAGCACTGAGTGTAATCTTCAGATGTGTGTATGTTGTAGTGCAGAGATTCTCTATTCTTTGTTGTCAATGGTAGTATTAAGTTTGCCAGATTTTTGTCTCTGCCTTTCCACATTAACGGTGAACTCGAGATTAAGATACTAATTTCAAGGCTTGGGTTTTGAATGTCTTTCACCTGTGTTTTCAATGTCTGTGAAACCTCATCTATTGCTCTTCCAGTGAGAATATCTCTAATCTTCTGATATAGTGAACTTTGTCTGTCTGTAAAGTTATGTATTTGTGAATTTTATGGTTGTTGTGCTGTTAAAATTTATATCCTGAACTGAGAGTGAAGAGTGTGTTGTTGTTCTGCAGGTTGAGAGATTGTGGCGTCACAGATGAAGGTTGTGCTGCTCTGAGTTCAGCTCTGAGATCAAACTCCTCACAGCTGAGAGAACTGCATCTGTCTGGGAATAAAGTAGGAGATGCAGGAGTGAAGCTGATCTCTGATGCACTGAAGGATCCTAGCTGTAAACTGGAGATACTGTGGTAAGATCATATTCAGTATTATGCTCCAGTGAAACAATTATATATTATCATATATATTGCATATTAATATTAGGGCAGTCAGTCGAATTTTTAATCTAATTAATTACATGATGTGGTGATTAATTAATCACAAATTTAATTTAATTTAATTTAAAGTCCCCATGTGGTCAAAATAAAAACTTTTATGTTGTTTATTTGTACACTGTGGTGTTTTAATATGCTTTTAGACAAACCATGTGCCAATCCATTTATCAACACCATTGCTGAGTATTTTCTCCTTAAAACGGTAGTTTCCCAAAGGCAGTCACAGAAACGCGGTTTGAAACAGTTTTTTTTTCTACTTAACAAAATTCAATAACCAATCGCGTCAAGGTATCCTATCCTTAGCATATCATTAACTGTGCTGCAAAGCAGAGGGTCTAGTGAGAAGGCAGCCAGGTTAATCCGGTAGCAATTCTATTTTTCTATAGATGTTTCACTAACTTAATATTTCCCCCTATTTTCACGATGTCATGTGCTGTTAGCGCTTAATTATTTGTATTTAGAACCGCACACTTGAATAATTACGGTGACGCATTGCTGCCGCACACATTATTTTTTCCACTCAATTATGTCGTAATAACGAGATGTTATGTCGTTCTAACGACATCTTTTCTCGTTAAAACGACATCTACGAGAAAAGATGTCGTTTTAACGAGAAAAGATGTCGTTTTAACGAGAAAAGATGTCGTTTTAACGAGAAAAGATGTCGTTTTAACGAGAAAAGATGTCGTTATTACGAGAAAACATCTCGTTATTACGAGAAAAGATGTCGTTTTAACGAGAAAAGATGTCATTATTACGAGAAAACATCGGTGTCGTTAAAACGACATAATTGAGTGGAAAAAATAATATGTGTGCGACAGCAATGCTTCACCGTAAATAATAACCCGTGGCAGCAGTGTAAAAGTATCCCGGAGTCAGACGCACCTGTCCCGCATTTAGAGGTGGAAATTTTTATTCTTTCAAGAGAATCGTTCATTTTCAGTTCGTTCACCAAAATGATTCGTTCAGTGACCATTTCTTCATATTACATAAATACGCCAGCAGGTGGCGAAAAAGAGTGTTTTATCTGTTGTGTCTTAATTTAAGTCAACGAACGTATTCACTTATTAAAAACAAAACTTTATTAAAATGTGTGCATACAGGGTCTGAATACTTAGGACCATGTGATATTTCAGTTTTTCTTTTTTAATAAATCTGCAAAAATGTCAACAATTCTGTGTTTTTCTGTCAATATGGGGTGCTCTGTGTACATTAATGAGGAAAAAAAATTAACTTAAATGATTTTAGCAAATGGCTGCAATATAACAAAGAGTGAAAAATTTAAGGGGGTCTGAATACTTTCCGTACCCACTGTATATACCTTGCTACATGTACTGCGTTAGGCTAACCGAGACTTGTCATTTGCACTGATATATTGTTGCTCTTTTGTTAGTTTTGACTGCTTTTATTGTCCTCATTTGTAAGCCGCTTTGGATAAAAGCGTCTGATAAATGACTAAAATTAATAAATATGAATGTATAAACAAGTTTATTTGCACAGTACCTATAACTGCGCTTTGCATCCGCTTTCTGCTGATTGCTGATCGAGATTGACTCACATGCTTAATGGCCGACTGACCAGGTACACTCAGTCATTTCGTTCACGAACGAGATATGTAGCACTTCATTCAACTCGTTCACGAACGAGATGTAGCAGTTCTGTCATTTCATTCACGAACGAGAAGTATCAGTTCGGTCATTTCGTTCACGAACGAGAAGATCTCTCGATCTCGTTCAGTGAAGGGCGTATTCGTTCACTACATTCAACAAATCACATGCTCCGTCACATCTCATACTCGAAGGCTATTGGCTCGAGGTTTAGTCATTCTTTGACAGGATGAAACAGTCCACACAGAGCTACCTGGTTCACTGAACTGCGCATGCGCTGCCAATAGCGCCACGCTGCTGTGGAGGGAGGAATTTCAGTGAACGAGAAATATGAGTAAATGGAGTACGGGAACGAGAATGATTTGTTCACCAAAAAGATTTGTTCACGAACGTAACAACACTACCCGCATTGGCATTCGCACGTTACACGCGTATGATATTGCCCTCGAAGATTTGGATGATGGGAACCTGCTTTCTCAGACGCAACAGACTCAGCCAGAGGATATTATGTCCACTGATGTGAGGTCTGTTGCTGAGAAGCTAAGGTCAGTTGGTCTAGAGGGGCTTGATTTGGATTCCTGTGATGTGTCTGAGCATTGTAGACTAAAATTGGTCGATACAATCTTGTAGTACAATGATGTCTTTTCACGTCATGATTTGGATTGTGGTAATGCTACTGGATTTGTCCATAGGATTCATCTTTCAGACACGAGACCTTTCTGACTTCCGTACCGGAGAGTGCCGCCCAGCCAGTATCAGGTGTTGCATCGTGTTTTGAATGAAATGGAGGAGAAGGAGATTATTCGCAAATCGTCTAGTGAGTTTGCGTCTCCTTTAGTCCTTGAATGGAAAAAGAACGGCGATTTACGCTTGTGTACGGATTTTCGGTGGTTAAACAAAAGGACATTGAAGAATGCACATCCGTTACCTCACCAGGCCGACTGTTTGGCTGCGTTAGGCGGGAATTCACTATTCAGTACGATGGACTTGACCTCCGGCTTTTACAATATGCCTTTATATGAGGATGACCGAAAGTACTTGGCCTTTACGACACCTATGGGCTTATATGAGTACAATCCGCTTCCTCAAGGGCTTTGTAATAGTCCGGGTAGTTTTATGCGCATGATGACAATATTTTTGGGGACCAAAACTTTCTAAGCCTGTTATACGAGAAAAGATGTCGTTTTAACGAGAAAAGATGTCATTATTACGAGAAAACATCGGTGTCGTTAAAACGACATAATTGAGTGGAAAAAATAATATGTGTGCGACAGCAATGCTTCACCGTAAATAATAACCCGTGGCAGCAGTGTAAAAGTATCCCGGAGTCAGACGCACCTGTCCCGCATTTAGAGGTGGAAATTTTTATTCTTTCAAGAGAATCGTTCATTTTCAGTTCGTTCACCAAAATGATTCGTTCAGTGACCATTTCTTCATATTACATAAATACGCCAGCAGGTGGCGAAAAAGAGTGTTTTATCTGTTGTGTCTTAATTTAAGTCAACGAACGTATTCACTTATTAAAAACAAAACTTTATTAAAATGTGTGCATACAGGGTCTGAATACTTAGGACCATGTGATATTTCAGTTTTTCTTTTTTAATAAATCTGCAAAAATGTCAACAATTCTGTGTTTTTCTGTCAATATGGGGTGCTCTGTGTACATTAATGAGGAAAAAAAATTAACTTAAATGATTTTAGCAAATGGCTGCAATATAACAAAGAGTGAAAAATTTAAGGGGGTCTGAATACTTTCCGTACCCACTGTATATACCTTGCTACATGTACTGCGTTAGGCTAACCGAGACTTGTCATTTGCACTGATATATTGTTGCTCTTTTGTTAGTTTTGACTGCTTTTATTGTCCTCATTTGTAAGCCGCTTTGGATAAAAGCGTCTGATAAATGACTAAAATTAATAAATATGAATGTATAAACAAGTTTATTTGCACAGTACCTATAACTGCGCTTTGCATCCGCTTTCTGCTGATTGCTGATCGAGATTGACTCACATGCTTAATGGCCGACTGACCAGGTACACTCAGTCATTTCGTTCACGAACGAGATATGTAGCACTTCATTCAACTCGTTCACGAACGAGATGTAGCAGTTCTGTCATTTCATTCACGAACGAGAAGTATCAGTTCGGTCATTTCGTTCACGAACGAGAAGATCTCTCGATCTCGTTCAGTGAAGGGCGTATTCGTTCACTACATTCAACAAATCACATGCTCCGTCACATCTCATACTCGAAGGCTATTGGCTCGAGGTTTAGTCATTCTTTGACAGGATGAAACAGTCCACACAGAGCTACCTGGTTCACTGAACTGCGCATGCGCTGCCAATAGCGCCACGCTGCTGTGGAGGGAGGAATTTCAGTGAACGAGAAATATGAGTAAATGGAGTACGGGAACGAGAATGATTTGTTCACCAAAAAGATTTGTTCACGAACGTAACAACACTACCCGCATTGGCATTCGCACGTTACACGCGTATGATATTGCCCTCGAAGATTTGGATGATGGGAACCTGCTTTCTCAGACGCAACAGACTCAGCCAGAGGATATTATGTCCACTGATGTGAGGTCTGTTGCTGAGAAGCTAAGGTCAGTTGGTCTAGAGGGGCTTGATTTGGATTCCTGTGATGTGTCTGAGCATTGTAGACTAAAATTGGTCGATACAATCTTGTAGTACAATGATGTCTTTTCACGTCATGATTTGGATTGTGGTAATGCTACTGGATTTGTCCATAGGATTCATCTTTCAGACACGAGACCTT